CATTCCATTGCTTGATTGAATTCGTGATAATTTTTTTCTAAATTCACTCGCGTGTAATATTCCAATGGATTCGTTGACTCTATTGATTTTTTGACTCGACGATAATAAAATAAGAGTATTTTGGTTGACAACAGAATAGAGCTTGTTATGTCCTAGTTCTTGTTCTTTTTCTCTTTGTTTTGTAATATAAATACACAATAAAACATACACAAATATAATTTTATTTTCTTTTCATATATGTGCCACAGTAACACAAAATGGCCAAAATAGTTCTTGTTCTATAACTGTTTGTTCTTTTAATATAGATACATAAAGGAAAATTTTGATCGGGAACAAAATTTAGCTTGTACGAGTATGCCCAGGTCTTTATGGTAAGTGTAGCTGGGCCTTTAGACGTGCTCGCCTTGGGGCGCAAACATAAACTATTGATAAAATGGAAAGGGCGCCTGCAGCACCGGCGGCGCGCCCGAAGGCTCCCATTGTGCTACAGCCTGCGTCACAGTATATTAGTATTATGTGTACGTATGTATTATTAAGTACATTATAACGACGTATTTAGTACAAAGATATCGATGCAGATGACTTTTGTACAAAGTCTCTACATACTAAATATATATACTCTTACATGTATATATATACATACATTTAATATTAATTACATACATTACATTTAGGTCAATGGAAATATACTCATGAATATAAATGTTTACATTGCGCTAATATTGAACCCGTAGCCATCAGAACGCGAAGTAATGTATTAAACCGCATATAGATTTAATGAATGTTTGAAAACGAGTTCCGTCCTCGTAGTACTGATCATCTGTTCTCTTGGAAACTTTTTATATTGAATATTTAGGTAATAAAACAGCAGCTTATATTAATAAAATCATATTTTTGACGGTTATATTCCTCATCTGTCACAGTGTGTTAATTAGTGCTTCAATCATTAATCGTAAATGCTTTAATTTAATCAGTCAATATGAAGTTCAGTACAAGATCTTATATATATCATCATCTCAGTCATTATCTGTCCTCTGTTGAAGATACATAGGCTCCCCCATAGACTGCCATAAGGAACGGTCCTGAGCCACCTGCATCCACTGACTCCCTGCAATGCATTTGAAGTTATCACTTTATCTAGTGAGGGGTCGTCTTACACTGCGATTATACGTACGGAGTTGCCACTCAAGAACCTTTTTTTCCCATCGGTTGTTAGTTCTTCGAGCTATATGACTAGCCCATTGCTATTTTAGCTTACTTTAACTACTTATCTTATTATAGATCTCTCATGAAACTAAATATTCTCTGTGATGTGTGTTTGTATGAGCTGTGTATTCAACTTGTACTTATGTACCTTAGACACCTATGCACCTAATGTCAATCAACAGAAAAAATACCGTCATCGTCATCATCGCAGCCATTATCCGTCCACTGTTGAACATAACAAAAAATATATTGAAATATTAATGTTGTTATTGTATTAACATATATATTTATAAATATTAGACATATTTCATCGCTGTCAAGCAAACTTTCGTTTGGGGGTTTGGGTGGTATAAGTTGCCTCAGGCCGGTAATTACAATTGGAAGAGTAGGACAGTCCCGCCCTCGGGCCAAGCCGCTGGCTCACTTCGCCCGCTCTTTGAATGGTTCACAACTAAAAAAGAATATCCACACTGTACGCAATCAGTGGGTTCTGTAAGTGCGTCAGGAATAATAAATTTATACGGTCACATTTGCCAATCCTTCTGTGTTTATGCCATGCCAATTCACCACAAATTTCTATTTGCTTTCGTCTTTCTGTTGACAATAGCAACAAAAGGCAATGAACCTATGTAAACAAGAATATTAACTTTGTCAATTATTTTTGCATACGCATTATATTTTTAAGTATTTGTTTTTAAAATGAATATTCGTTTGAAGATGTTTATGCTTCTAATTTCTGAATGTTTTAAATTAGTTTCAAATACTGCAATACAAAACATGTTGGTAGGTAAACCATTTAAATTGAGAATAACATTTTTCTTAAATTCTGGTGATTTATGAAACGTAAACGGGATATTTTATGGTATTAATCCTTCTTGCTAACAATATAATCCTATCAGGACATCCCGCCATCTATCCTTAAAACCAACATGGTTAAGTCCTAATGATTTTGTCAATGGTTCAAATGATCTGACTTCATCCTTATTATTATTATTGTTCATTGTTATCATTTGTTAATATATTAACTTATTTACTTATTATTATATGTTATTGTGATAAGGTACAAGTGAATAATGATTCACTTGTACTGAATGCAGTTTTCTCCCATTTAAATAAAAACTCCCAAAAGCGATACTGCTACTGGTTGCATATGGCAAGGCATTCCAGTGTTCAAATCCTACGATTAGTTAGGTAGGTATTTGGGTTGTCGCGGAATAGGCAAACAGCCTCAGGCATATTTATAATGAAACCAGACAGGTAAGAGTGCTCGAGTGGTACGTCGCGGAGTAACGCCCTCTAGCGGTTCGCTACTGAAGCACGAGTTTACAGGAGCTAACTTTTGTTACGTGTGTATTTGATTTCTAACCATTTCCAACCCTTTTTTAATTAACCATGGAAAATATAAACTTTTACGTACAACTTTATTTCTATAGTTGATTTACTTTTCGACTACCAATAATCATATTTACCACAATAACAATGATATTAATATTAACGATGTAGTGGTTTTACCTCATATCCTGATGGTTACGGGTTCTATTTCCGCATAATACTAGCGTTTGTATTTACAAGCAGAATATGTCTGTAAGTATTGGTTTGTGTGTTCCAGTTATTTAGAACTTATAAGTTCTGCTTATAGTTTAGGACTCAATGGGGTTTGGGTTATGTCCAGGGTTATTCATTATTGTTTTTTGATATTAGTCATGAATTACCTGAATATGTTTCATTAGATGCTATTTTTAGACAAAAATAATCTGTGTTTAGATCGTATCTAGTGTTTAAAGATATTCATGGGCAGTGGAATGAATAAAAGCTTTTTTCTTTTACAAAACTACATGAATAGACAGTAACGTGTGAAACCACTGAGATAGGTCGTCAACAGGCGACTGCAACGGAGATGCATTCACGAGATAAAAAATAATTGAAGTCGGACTTGGTCCGGCTCGTGTGAGCCCTAAAGCTATTAGGTATGTAGACCTAGCACAGTCAGCCACACGTCTATGGGTTGTCATTTATATTAGATTGAAGTTTTCAGTACGCAGTTCATAAGTAGTTAAGGTAATTTTTGACGACTTTGGTGCTCTAGCGGCTTGACAAACCGCTTTATCTTTCGATAATTCGCATAATACAAATATTTGTTTGTATTAGATTGGGTGTTGTCTAGGTATAATATGTATGTATTTACAAAAAAAAAAAACTTAGCTTAATTTGGGACTAGATAGCGCTGCGTAATATGTCCATAAGTTTTTATTTATTCTTTTTATTTGTCAGAAATATAATGTGGTACTTACGTAATAAATGTAGCAATTTAGTGCAGGTATTTGTTAATTGATTCAACAGTTTCATTAGCTTATAAATTCAGATACAGTCGAAATTCAGATATAATTGTTTTAACTCTTGTCAGGACCAAATGTTAAAGTATTTGCCATCGAATTAATTCCAAGTAAATTATGTAATTTGCCACAACATAGGTATTGGTATATACCAAATTTTGTGGAGCTGCTCTAATAAATATTACAAACAAAGGCTTTATTAAATTTCGGTCTAAGCTAACAACAGTCGCATACCATTGGGATGCTATATGCCCGTTTACTTTGTTTAGTGGTTTCAAAACAATATCTTTTGGTAAATATCCGGCATAAATTCCTTTGAGAGTAATTAATGTGTTTGATAGAAATTCCTATTTTGTATTTTGTTATATTTCATGTTGCCAATTTTTGTTCTACTGTTGTCTAGTTCGTACAATATTAATTAGCTGCACGTATTTTCGTCATTTTACAAGTAATAATGTCACATAAAATCCAGTCCAGGCGGCCAAGTCACAGGTTGCAAAGTTTTCTTATCTTGTTTCAAGTCAACTTGCAAAACAGATTCACCACTCTATTATAATATGTATGTGTGGATTGAATGTTACTACTCGAGAATGAGGTTATTTGGAATATGGTATATGAATGAGCAATTTCCACTGAAGGGTGCCGTGAGAGCGCTGGCGTCGCTACGGCGTGACGCCGCAGGTTGAGATTCGTGAGAGCGAGAGGCTCCCACGATGACACCGTGCAACTTCACAACACAAACTCATATCTTTTCAACTGACTTCAAAAAGTAGGGGTTTTGAAACTAACTGTAATTTTTTATGGGTATTATTCGCTATATTTGCCAATTGTGACCAAATGTTGATAATATTTATTTAATTTCACTCCTTTACTCAGAGACGTATTTAGAGGAAAGACCAAGTGGACTGTGCCCACCTCAAAATAGTGCTTACATCAGAATGCGAACGAATGTTCATTAAGATTTGTCTGAGAGTACACATGCGCTTTTTTAAAGGTCCAGATCCTCCCTAAATATAATATAATCGTAAATACGCTAATGCTCAAACTCTTTAATTTTGAAGAAATTGGAGTCAGTTTTTTAAAAGGTGACATTTAACATAATAAAACATAATCTAGGTAAAAGAGACTTTAAACGAATTTAAAAGAGATATTAAACTACTTTCTTTTCTGAGTGCACCGAGGCATACAAAATGTACTCTGCTCTCCCTACGACTTACATTTACTTATTACGTTTTCATTTATATAACTTATAATTACGTTTATATTAGCAGAATATTAGGCTATAAACTTGCTACTGTTTGTACTGCTTGCTTAAAAAAATAATCTATTAACAATTTTTTTAATAATCATTCAGAATTATTTATTCAAAGATTTATAAAATTCATATTTATTAATCGTTACAAGCACATAATTTATTATATTTTACTGCAGTAAGTTGACAGTTCATTTTGTGATTTACAGTAACCAGTAACAAAATGCTGTCAGTAAAACCAGGGAGCCCGCAGCCGGACGGCAGTATGGAGAAAAAGCCCATCGCTGGTATCCCGCGAGTAGCGACCACAACAAAATTTAATGCGCCAGTTCATATCGACGTTGGAGGAACAATATACACATCTTCCTTAGAAACACTCACCGCGTAAGTTGAATGGTATTTTGTTACAATTTGTCATATTAAGTAAATCGAATGGTCGAAGGGCGAGTATACGAGTTTGGGAAACAGAACTATATTTTTTCGTCCAAAAATTCATTAAATGCTACGATGTGGCTGGTATTTCTTCTGCAACATATGGAAATACCAACATTGTCTGAAATTGCTAACTGTATAAGTATGCACCATAGCCAGATATTCAAGGGGTGATGTGCAGTTTTATTTGGTCATAGAATCTAAATGGCTAAAGTATAATTTTCAATATAATTGGTCCATTTCACTTATTCAAATGAAGCTGTGTAGGTATTTAATCGTTATATTATTGTTAAAATAATTTGAAGTTATGGTGGATAGGTTGGTTTGTAAATAAGCTTGTTTTATCTGTGCTGAGCGTGTTATTCTCGGCGGGAGTGCGCTGGTAGCCGACGGCAATGCCGCGGGCCCTGCGGGCTCGCAGTGCCGCAACGCGGCTGAGCTGCCCTGGATAGGGCTAACTACTTATTAATATTTTATAAAAATAAAATATTGCAACCAATATTTTTTATAATTGCATTTATTAATTTATATTTGGTTATTTTCATTTAACAATCTCGATAATATATTAAATTTTAAAAATTTTAAACAACTTATGGAGGCAATTTTTACATTGGTTACATTTTGCTCTTTAATTAGTTTTGTATTTTTAAAACACAGAGAATATAATGTCGTTAACATTATATTCTTACTGAATAATATTTTATTTACTAGTTTAAAACAGGTCAAACTAGTTTAATATAATATTTTTTACATTGTGTATGTTTAATTTACTTTTATTTATTACAAATACGTAATTGGCACTTTTTGTAATAATGAAGTATTACCAATAAATATAGTAAACCGTGTTTTGCTCGATTGTCAACCCTACCCCCGTTCGCTGGCTTCACCCTCAGATACCGCTCTTTTAATCAACTCACTCGAGGGCACAAAAATAAATATCTTGCCAATTGCACACCTCATCGAAATACTGAAGTAACCGTTATTTTACAATCATAAATCAATGCTTCGATTATTAATTTAATATAATATTTAAAGGGTTTCGTGAACATAAAATGAACGATACCAAAAACTTTAGTTGTCAATTTAGATTTACGACTAATATTTAAATTAGACTATTTCATTTGGGATTACAGTTACGATTATTATAATACAAATTTAATTAACTTGGACGTTATAAGAGGTTGGTTCTCAAATTGATAGAACGATAGATATTCTTAACAACTATAAAATAGAGTGCTTGCAAAGATTAAATAAGTAAAACATACTATATATCTGATATCAGATTTTCCTTATAACCATTATTTACATTATTTTTTATATGATGGTCTTAAAAAATTCAAGACGAAAATCTCACAAGCTAAGTTCACCAGGAACGCTTATGCAGCCTGAAATTTTAATTCAGGAAACTGAGTTGTTGGATATGGTATATTTGTGTTTTAGTTATTTTCTATTTAATAGTACTAAATAATAGATATAAAGCTTAAATGGATATAATTATAATACAACATATGGACATGTATAGTTTATTATAATATAACCTAATGGAAAGAGAATCAAGTTTAGTTGAAATTATTCTTAATCGTAAACTGTAAGAAAATAGAATAATCCTTTTTAAAAGTCCGGCACACCTGCAATTCGGATTGTAAGTGCTGCGAGTTGTCCTGCGAGTTGCGGGTGTTCATGGACAGCGGTAGTCATTTACCACCAGCTGAGCCGCATACTCATTGTTGTTATAAAAAAAAGACTTTGTATACTATCTAAAATTAATAAGAAATCGAAATATTCAAACTACTGGTATTGATCGATTTTTTATTTGTACGACTAGGTACTCGACAACGCAGTCTATCTTTTGGTCGGATTAATTATTTGTTTGTTTACATATTTTTTATGAAAATAGACTACCTATATGTATTTTAATTTTAATTTGAGGGTATCGAACTTATTGTATAATTAAGGATATTAAATATCCTATTTCCAGTTACCCTGACTCGAGACTGGGCAAGATGTTTAATGGCACGATTCCCATAGTACTGGATACCCTCAAGCAACACTACTTTATAGACCGCGACGGTGAAATGTTCCGCCATATCCTCAACTTTTTGCGGAATAAAAAGTTGTTATTGCCAAACGATTTCCGTCACCTCGATTTGCTGCTTCATGAAGCACATTACTTCGAATTAGATCGTAAGTATATATACTATGTAAGTATATTATATTACTATTATACTATATACTATTATATAATAAGCAGTTTTAAAGATGAAAATAAAATGGTAATCCTACCTGAGTTATCGGTTTATGCTGACGTAGTGTCAGTGATAGATGATAAGAGAGGATAAAGCCAGCTTAGTTGATGTAGGGTGATGAATTCACTAGGAACAACTACGATATTGTCCAAGAAGAACTGCATGGAGGTCAACCTGAGGTCAACCACTACTAGCAACGGGGCTGATAGAACCTACTAATAAACTTTTCTCCCACGTTTATAAGTTAGTACTTATAAGTTAGTACTATAAATGGGAGAAAAGGCTTGCACATACGGTTATCTTCTTTAGTAGCAGATAACAGTTTTTCTTCTTATTGTAGAGACACAGATAATGTAATACTATACTAGAAGTAGAGATGATAGATGAGGATGATGGCAGGTCAGTTGATGAATTTGATGGGAATTAATCATGGTGGTATCTAGGGGAAAAATGTGGAGATTGACCTAAAAGGATATATTGTTAATGGGCTACTAGATCCTATTACTTACAATCCCTTTCCCTCCGGCAGATTACAGTTATACCTACTATAAGGTTTCCTTTGCATCTTTTTGCTATGGAACTCCAAATATGGGATCGATGGCTAATTATCCAGAGGAAATCGTTATTATTTCTTTATATGCTTATGAAATGTTCGCTCGAATTAGTAATACCTTTTGGCATAAGCGATGTAAAGAGCTCTTTATCGCACATTTAATTCAAAATTTATTCATTGAATATATATATGCAGATAGCAAGAAGAACAAACTTTTAGAATAATTGTGTATAATTATTTACTCAATAAATTTCAGATATGGTGTATGCATTGACAAAGTTGAAGAATGAACGGGACGGAGTAAAGCAAGACTGGTTCAACCAAGCTACTGAGCGGTTGAAAGAAGAGACTGAATTGCTTATGCAGGAACGGGATCGCCTCGAGCAACGGTGGTCATGAATAAACAAAGTGAGTACTCTTCATACTTTTATATACTTGTAGTTTCATATAATGTAAATTACAGTAAATCAAAGAAATAACAGACTAGACTGTGCCATCAGTAGGCGATTAGAATTATTTTCTTATTATGAATATTATTATATAATAGTGACATCTATGAGCAAATCAAAGTTTAATAATTTATGTATAATAGTAAATTTATAAAATGATCTAATTTATGAATTTAATTAAATTTAACAATTAATGTTTATGTGTATTCCGCAAATATTTTACGTGTATACTTTTATCTATACCTTTATATGTATTATTTTTATCTTTATTTAATTTGGCGAGAGAGACTTAATACTTAAAGTGGCTTAAAATTGTTATAGGATAATATGTCGGGATCACGCTCTGAAGTATCCAGGTCGAAGTGGAGTGGGACGAAGAGGCGTCGGCGACACGAGTACTAAACTCGAAAAACAGTCTTAAGAATATTTTATTAATTTTTCTATATCAAAATGCAGATTGAAAGAGAGTCGATCTGTATGAAAATGGCACAATATGTTAATCACACGTACTATACTTAGATACTGTTGTTATAATTACTTATGTGATTTAAAAAAAGTAGTTAGATCAATTTTGTAAAAATTCTTAGTTTAGTTTTTAGCAATATTTGATTAAGTACCTATATAAGTATGTGTAATAAAATTTGTATCTAGAATTCGTAATAATAAAATTTCTTTTTTATAAGTAATAAAATACTATACAACTGTAGTGTCTACCATTGACCATTTAAATAATAGAAGGAGATAGAGTAGTTTAGTTCAGTGTTTGTTAGATAACATAATAATGTAAATTTTAAGCTAAATTGACCACATATCTAACCTATATACTAATTCGACCTTCTTAACAACGTAAACAGTAGAAAATATAGTTATTACAATTAAACCTAAAAAACATTAAATTATAAGACATTTACTTTAATAAATATTCTTCAGTATTATTTTTATCATCACCATAAATAAATAGAAATAAAAATATTCAATATAAAAAGTACTTTTTCTTAAGTCTTGATAAGATTTATATAAAAATATTGTTATTTTTAAAACTTATGTTCATTTGTGATATATTATTAAAAATTGTATTTATTTTACTTTTATTCACAGGATTAAAAAAAATATTATACAATAGTTATATTTATTTAAATACTCCGCCTATGTATACATGTAACAGTTAAATTTATTGGCTTCTAATTTTACCAAGATCATAGTCTACTACTGCTAATATGTTATAGTTATAACACTGACAAAATTAATTATGTAAATATATTGTAAAATATTGGGTATTAATATACGATTAGTTACAGTAGGTATAGATTGGTTACGAAAACATGGCACAAAATCCAAAGAATTAAAAATATGTAAGTAAAAATTTATACGTATTGAACCAATTTACTTAAATAAGGTATAGAATGAAAGACAATGCACATTATTGAATGCGTTAATATAAAGTAAATACGAAATGAATTAAAAAAAAAAAGAATTAGAAAAAAAAAACAATAAATCGCTTGGTAACCGTTGGGATTGTGAAAACTTTACTTACTATAAAATGATAAAAAAATTACAAAAAATATTTTTATCTGTATTTTAATATACTTTAAACTACAGTCGAGTAATAAACGACTATATCGTTTTTGTGATCGGAGTTCAGGTATGAATAATCTCAAAGTGATGTTACTGGACCGGGTTTCGTTTAAATTACTCAATAAAAAGTATAATTATACAGATGCATGAAATTGTATAATTTTTTTTTATAAAAATTTTGGTAATTACTTAGCATATAAGTATGATATTTACAGTATTTTTTCTTGAAATAGCAATTATTACAGGACTGGCAAGTAATCACTAATACGTATCATTCCAAATCTAATTCAAGAGATATATAAATAAAAATACTGTATTTTTCTCATTAGCCTTATGATTCTGATCAATATCATCGACATAATGAAACTGGTTAGAACATTTACATCCTACACAACATTAACCTTCTAAGCTTTTTTGTTTTATGGTATTTCACTCACAATGGAACGAACGACAACTAGCTATGCATTGATATGGTCACAGTTCAAGGTATTTCAGCGAAATATACTAATGAAATAACTAACCGGCACTAATGATTCATAGTCCTCAAATATATATAGCACCATAGTTTAGATTAATACTTTAGACGTTAACAACCTTTATTTACGGTCCATTTGTATCCTTTCCGTTACATGCCAGAATACTCATGATGATTATAACTTATATAAATTATATTTATTAATATTTACATTCAGGATAAGGATTTTTAAAAGGAATAAATAAAAAACCATTTATATGATTATAACATTTATTTCACTACGTAATGGCCTTTCACATAAAGAGTAAGCATATTGGATACGATAATATTTTTTTTTCAATATATAATATTGAAAAGAAAATTTCGTTATACCTTAAATTGTAAGTTATAACTATAGTTGGCTGATAAGAAATGTTAAAAAAAATTCAATTCTCAACAACCAAAGACTAAGATATAATAATATATTTAATATATATAATTATATTTTGAAATATGGTCAATACATTGAATTATGAGATTAAATTAAATAATTATTCCAGTAGAATAAATTTTACACAATGCAATGATTACCACAGAAATTACTTACTTTAGTTATATGAATGCATTTATAATAGCATCAAATAATAACGTATTAGCATAAGAATAAATATTCTGTATAGAAATGATACTCATGTTCTTTCCTGTTCGAGTGTACCGATGCCGAATTTATTATACCCTCATTCTTCTCACTCAAATAGGGTTGTCACAAATTTATACTCGTGTAGTTATATATATATATATATATTTAATATTATAACTACACACTATATATATATATATATATATATATATATATATATATATATAGTGTGTAGTTATAATATTAAATATATATGTAGCGATTACGTAAAAACAAACGTAGTGTAGGAATATCTACCAGTAGAAACAACGACACATACAATCTAAAAACTTATATATAATATCGATAAATTTTACTTGTATGCAGTACATACCTATTTTAGCATTTCTATGGCATTTTCTTTCTACGTATTTATCTAATATATGTTGTATAATATACCTACTGTATATTACCGACATTTATCCATGTCATATATGAGTTATTAGATTGTATGTGACATTGTCATTTCTACTAGTGTAGGAGAAAGAGTCGCTCCTATACTATATTAGAATTCTAGATTCTATATACATATTATATATATTATATACAAGTAAAATAAAAAAAAAAAGCGATTTAGTGGTTTACGATTAAACGCTATCTGTGCATCGTACAACTGCACTGATTCATACTGAGTTTAATTCTTGCGGATGGCTAGAGTCACAGACGTGGATTATTGAATTGACGGGAGTATCACTTCTACCTTGTCTTTATTCTTATGGTATTATTAAAAATAAAATATAAAAATAAAATCTTATCTAGTGTTCAGTTCGTTATATACCTATCTACAAAAGTATAAAACGTTGATCAGTCATTGTAAGGGAAAAGAGTTACAGCAATTTACATGTAGTGATGTGCCAAATCAGGTTGAGGCGAATACTTAATAGAAATTCAAATATTCGAGTACTCAATATGCAGAACTCGGATATTCGAATATTCTCGAATGTATTATTGAATTTATCATAAATTTTTCGTACCAGCATTTTATGAGTATTTTTCTTAATTACAAAAAGAAAATTTAGTATATTAGTTAACATTTATTATATTCAGAAAAGTAAACCTCAGAAAACTTTAAAAAAAATATTTGATTCGAATAAAATATTCGAATATCCGTAAAAGTATTCGAGTACTTGTTCTTAAACTCGCGTTAAGATTAGTTTTTTTAACGACTATTAAAATACTCGAATACTAAAAAAAGACCGAATTTTACCATCACTATTTACGTGTATAACCGATTTTCTGAAAATGTAAGGAGGTATATAATTTACCCACTTACCCGATAAAGGATATGGTTATAACGATATAAAGGCACGTGTTAATAACCACTAAAACTTATTAAAATTTATGTTTCTAAACGATTAAAATAGCTAAATGCCCAAAAGTAACGTAAGTCTTATAGCGGGGTTAGTTGTTTCTAGTGTTGGTATATAATAAATAGTACCTATGAATAACCATTTCGTCTGCATAGTCGTTTCTGTACTGTCAAGTAGTTGTACTTTCATAACTGTGTTTGAATAGCTGTGGTATTGAAATTGCATGGTATGGAGCCATAAAATAATTAGCAATGACGACGCATAAGGTGTACAATAAGAAAACTATATCTCACAATGAAAATTGACAATAATTCTTTAGACAAGATTTTTTTTATCCAAGAAGTAGTATAAAATATTTGAAAAAAAAAAAGTGAGATATATTAGGCATAAAATAAGGGAATGCATACTTGTATCTACTGCTATAAGGTAAACATTAACATAAATTGGCTCGCGCTATGTTGGCAGCGCCAGTTGGCAAGCTTAGAGATTTCAAGTACTGTATTAGAATGATAACTGATTTATAATATCAAATTGGCCAAACTTATTCCAAATATAGAGTTGTCAAAACGTTTCCAGGATTTGATTGAGACACGTTCTTTGATAGATAATCTCTTTAAAAAGAAATTAAAATACCTGTAGGAAAACTGTTGTAGCATTTAAAGAAAAAATAATTCAAATCAAATATAAATAGTTAAAGAACGGCATGAAAACAAGTAGATAAGTACACAAATTATCTAAAACAGATATTAATAGACAGCCAGACAGTAATTAAGAATAACAAACTGTTTCTCGGGATTGGAATAAAAATATTTTATTTTACTTTAATTTACGAGTAGGTTGAAAAAACAAACATTGCAAAATTACCTTCAGGTATATTTTTTTTTTAAATTTAAAAAGCAATTGCTGATAAGTAGGTAAGTATGTTGTCTTACAATAAAATCATTGAATTACTTTAACCATTAACAACACAACAGAACAGTTTCCGTGAGGCGTTAGCATTTCCTTCACTAGTTGGAGAGGCACTATAAGAAGAAAAAGAAGACGACTAACGTAATTAAAAATTCATACGATCATTATAAAAGCAGTTAATTTTAAATGTTCGCGTTGTTGACACATATTTTAAATGCACAATCGAGACTTAACGCAATGAAAAAATCTACCTTTACAGGTAAATAGTACCTACATACACGCTCCTTTAATGCCGACGTCTCGACGTGGATTGCATCACGTTGTGGTTACGACAGGACTGAAATTAGCGGCGTCTTCGTCTAGCAGTCTGCGTAGTCTCTTTGGGTATCCTCGCTCTGTTTGTATCTAGATCCACCCTACACACCGCAATCTTGGTATCCACACTACGTTTAAACAAAATATCGTGTCTTTTTAGTGTACTAAAACAGTTCTATTAATCACTGGATATTATATTGAAACATATTGAAAAAGCTTTATAAGTAGCAAACTCAGACAAACAAACGTAGAGTAGGGAGTCCCACTATCAGTAGGAGAGACAACGACACACTAATCACTGGGTGCTATGCTGTTGAAAGCCTATATACATCTTCTTTAATAAAAATTTTCGATTTTTTTCCTATTTTTAAAAGGCATAATGTACTATCCGAGTATAATAGTGACGTTCGGTTGATAGAACCTTCGGGTTATTCAGTTCAAACCAGTGATAAGTAGAGCTAACTTAGTGCACTAAAAACACTATAATTTGAATAAAGGCAGTGTTGATAAGTGAGCGCGGTGTGTATGGTGGATCTAGATAATAATAGTGACAGTGTGTGAGTACTCGAAGAGATTGCGTGGGCTGTAAGACAAAAACGCCGCTCACCTCAGTTCTATCGTCTGTCCTGTCGTCCTGTCACGACGTGGTGCAATCCAAGTCGAAACATCGGCAATAAAGAAGCAGGTATGTAGGTACTATTTACTTGCAAAGATATTAAATAAGAATTAGATTTTAATTTGTCTAAGCATTTAAAAACCAAGTTGTGTAAAACTTTTTAGAACTTTTCTTCTGCGGTTGTCTTTACATTAAACGTACCTCTGACTTATACATATACACACACAACCGAAATTAACGAAAGTTGTTTATTTATATGGTTGTTTGTTTGTATGGAAATTTGTTAGTGTAGATGTTATACACGTGATATTTTAAATAAAGGCTTTTGATTAAAAAAATTAATATGTTTGTTGGATTATAGAATTTTTCAGAATTTTCATACTTAAAGGGGAATGAGGAATGGAAATTTACTATTTAATTTTAGAAGTACAAGTTAAGAGTAATCAGTTTTCAAGAATTCTACCCCTCAGTACCTTAAAGTATAAGGATGAAGGATGAAATTTTGTATATTACGGGTAGATTTTGATTATAAAACAGAAAATACGCATTTCAACAATTATAAAAATTCATCACTGAGTGAATGAGGTCTGGCATTTCTGAAGCCAGACATTATGAGTCTAAATCTTTTAAACATCTACATTTGAGGAGGAGAAAAATATAAAATGGTAGTTTGCAATGTAACCGAATTTCATACGAAAGAAATTGCGGGCAACGGCTACAATTTATAAAATGGAAAATGGACTCGCAAAAAATCTAATAGCACATGCAAGCGAAGTCGTGGGCTAAAGCTAGTAATAAATAAGTACTGGTTGATTACGTATATCAAGTTGCTATAATTCATATGTACTATGTATATAATTCTTAGTGATGTTAAATTTTTATTTAAGGAGTATGCAAAATCGATTGTGAATTAGTTACCAAATTCGAACGCATTACTATATGTTCCAAGATCTGCATTTATATTTATAAAGAAATCCGGAAGAAATAGGTATTATACTAATAATTACCTTTTAAACTCTTTTCCCCTTATAATTTAACAAGAAGATCAACCTTAAATAATAAGAAATTACTTAAGATTACAAATTATAACTATAGTACCTACGTAAATATTCGCACCACTTTACCACATTAACACAAAAATCTTATACAAGAGAAAACGATAATATAATATATTTCTTACCCTATTAGTTATGAAGCTGAATTTATATATACCTAATATCGACGCTAGGAAGGCAAAATGCATTAAATGCTATTTGGTGAATTTTACAGGAAATAATGAAACGAAAAGACAAAATAATAATAAGTAGTACAAATGTCTATTCCAGTATTACAGTTACTATAGCATCTTTGTATTTTGAAGTGTTTTTTACTAATAAAATATACCAAAGATATTTCTGTGGTTGGCCATTTTGTGACCTGGATACATAGCCACCTGCTTCCTTTGATTACTGAATTAAATAAAATATCATTTGACGCAGAAAATAAACTGAATTCAATGATATTATGTATACTAAAATTATAAAGAGGTAAAGTTTGTGAGTTTGGATGTTTGGGCTAATCTCCAGTACTACTGATCCGATTTTAAAAATTCTTCTACTGTTGGAACGTTTTTTGTTCAATATACATTTTTTGTAATTAATCACAATAAATCTATTAATTACATAAGTGGGAAAACATTTTATAATATAGCGTGCGCTACCTGAATGGTTTGAAATAAAGGAATAAACTTTATAGCAATTTTAGAGTCGACAACGTGCACGTGACACTCCTAGTGTTGCAGGCGCCCATAGGTTATAGTAATCGTTTAACATCAAACGGGCTATATGCTTGTTTGCCACCTTTGCAGTAAACAAGGCAAAAATATTCATTACTTTTAGCTTTATAAAAAAGTTTGCGATACCGTATATCAAAGTTTAATATCTTAGCCAAAAACATGGTTTTGGTGGTAAGTACAATAAATTTTACAAGATCTAGTTTATTCCTACTCCATTTATAAGTTTACTCTTTATAGCATTACATGTTCATTAATGCAGTTGGCCAGAAGATAATGTGAAATAAAAACAATGAACAGGTAAAATTGCGTAGTCGCTGTCGCTGGTCGTGCGAGAATGCGGGGCGTGGTAAGGTGCATAGGAAAAACTATATAAACGCGCGCACATCAAAATGCTAAATAGGCCGTTCATTTAAAATCTTAGAAAATAATGGTAAAGTAATTTCTCATACGCCAAAATACCAGCCTTACTGTGTTGAACAGTTTAAAAGTTACACAAACAAACACTATACCCGTTAGAAACCGGGGCAGCTCACTACATCGCAACATCACTTTTAATACATTTTAACTATCTAGCATCGATATATAAGGTTGCAAGTATTTCTACGATATATATGTTACTATATTGCGTAATAGGTAAATTTTTAAAAATAGAGTACATATTGTACAATATGAAATCTAACTTTATTCAGTCAAATTAAGCTCTTCGCTAAGCAATTGCTACCTTTTTTTTGTATTTTTAATAGTTCTACCAATATCCACATATCTGCCTATTGATATTTTTTAAGAATTTATTTAAATAGGTAAATATCTAATTAACTGTATAATTTATACAATTATACAGTTAATTTGTTTATAAACAGTTGCCATTTTCAATCAAGTAGTCAGTTAACTTGTTTATCACTAGTAACTAGTAAGAACTAGTTGCTGGAACACGTTCAAATATTAATACAAAGAACATTTTAAAATAAAGAAAAATTAAAATCACTATAAAATATTAGCTGCTCGGTTACGAATGAATCTACCATCTCACTCGGTCGTTTTTAATGTCGATACTTCTTTAATTCAAGTTTTTCACTTTTATATATTGTTTTTTAAACTTTATCTTTTATTCAAATTTTTACCTGATTATTATTAACACAACAAAAACGGAATTAGCTAAATAGATGCTGTTATATTCAGTTCTAAAGTGACATGTTTTAAGTACTAAATAGTCGTTGTACATTCGAAAATTAATTTTTATTTAAAATATAGATTAGGTTATATACATGAAATTTTAACACTGTATCATAGATGTTTGATTTGATTATTTATTTATTTTTATGGTTTATTGGTAGAACTACTTAATTTTTTATACAATATTTCTATACATATATTTAAAAATTAATAGTTAAAATAATAATTGGCACTTTAATTGTTTTAATTACTTAAAATGTTAGATACCGCCAATGATGTCTGTGACAAAAAATTCACACAAAATAAACGGTGAGTAATTACTGATACTTATTTTCAATAATAATATACAGATTTTTTTTAAAATATAATTTTTTTGTATCCACACCAGAACAAATGGAATTGGCGTTGGCGTAGAAGTGTCTAATCGATTGATTTTATATAATAATATACATATATAAATATATAATAAAATTATAAATGGCAAGTACTTCAAAATATTCTTTAAAATTATCTAAATGAAAATGAGTGATTATCTGCTGACAATCTCTACTACTTTTTGAACCCCTTTGCTTTTGATGAACGAGCATAATGAAATCAAGAAGACAATTGACGGTAAAAACAATAACTTTTACAGATGCTATGGTAAAAAGAATATGTGTAATTATAATAACTAGATCTGGCTTGAAGCGTCTAGTAGTTACATCTATCTACAAAATGCTGAACTGTAGGTACTTAACTATACACTTGCTTTCTTATTCATAAAAAGTAAAACCTGCTAACTTATTTTAGCTATTGAAGTGTTTTGGTAATTTCCTTCAAATTAAGAATTCAGCACAAAAGAAAAAAAAAAAAACATTTCATTAACTAAAATAGGTTTTTAAGAAGTTTGACGTTTTTATGAATAAGAGGTTAGGTATTATAATGTTAGATACAAATTCCTGATATTTAAACAATACTCAGTCTTACACTTACTTAGACATGAATAATATAATCTAGGTATTCTAAAATGTATATTTAAGATCAAAATGAAAGCTTATTTCTATATAAATATATAATTATTTTATATATATATATTTCGAATATCTTATTAGTTTTAAATTTAATTTCCCTTTGAATAATACATAAAAATAATCAATTTTTGACTTTTTAAACATTATTCGGTTAAAATTTATTAAGATGTAAGAATTGATAGTTTCAGTAGTTAGAGATCAAATTAATTTTGAATTGTAATTTTTTATATTTACACATTTTAAATATCCAACCATTATAGAATACAAAATATAAAACATATAGCAATATGACTAAACAGTAAAGTTCTAGACACTATCTTTTAAAAATATGGCACATTACTGTTGAAATATTTTTATATTAAATATTATGTATAACAAAAATATCAAAAAAAAAACTGTTTTTATACTTTTAAAATTTATTAAACAAATATGGCATGTTTTGTACTAATAGAACAGTGCATCAAATAAATCAATAAGTACCAGGTAAATTTATGTATTGTTTATAATAAATTATATTAATACACAAATCCATATATTTGTTTGTAATTTGATAAAAGATCGATCTCGAAAACAAGACATTCAAAAATCGATTAATTTATTTTCTCAAACATGCTTAAAAATGTGAGCATTATTTTGACAATCTTCGAGATAAATCAAAATTGCCGCACTGGCCAGATACATGCGGGCAGCGGCCGGCAAAAGTTGTATGAAAATCCATATGTGTCGTGTTTTGCGGCCAGATAAATTACTATGTAAACTCATATTTGTCCTGTAATTTAAAAATGGAATGACCTTTTACTTCGAAACATGACTACCAAGGAAATAACTAATAAAAGGTTTTATTTAAATTTCGAACTGGCTTGCAAATAGAAAACTGTTTATTGAAAAAAGAAAACAAAGGAACATTATGGCGCGTGAAAAATTATTATTGTTTGTTATTAGTCTTTGAACTTAAAAAGTAAAATTGTGTTTTTGATTTCCACGCATTGTTTGAGAAAAGTACTATACAAGCCTTGGCCACAACTAGGAATTGATGGACTCACGTATGTGTGTCTCGGCCTACGTTCGTCCATCAATGCCTCAGTTGCTGACCGCTGCAGTAATGTACTATACATTACTAAGTAAAGAAAAAAAAAAAAAACAGATTAAAGTATACATTTTGTACAGTAATACTTAGATAAATTATATTATAGAGACGGTAATTGGAATTGGTAATAGAGTATAAGTTATTACATTTACTTGTAGAAATAACATACATTACAATAAGAGAGGTATGTATTTGATCAAATTTTATATTTTATATAAGTAATATCCTCATTTGATACATTTATTTGATAGAAACTTGTTAAATTTTATAAACATTAAGAGGGGACAAACTGTATATTATTTTATTATAAATTGTATTTTTAATAGTTGTAAGATTAGCCAGGGAAAATAAGTCACAGAAATCATGTCCGGCTTATGTTGAAATATTAATATAAAATGATAGGACTGGGAATTATAACATTCGACATTAAAATTAGTATTGCAATGGTAAACAATGTAAATATATCTATGTGTAGATAGACTCACTCATCATTACGAAATGCATTATTGCCACTTTAATTATGTTTTGATTAAATCTGACAATTGACTATCCATAGGCAACAAAAATATATGCTGTAACAAAATTTGTTAGCTATTATTTTTTAGTTTATTTATGAATCACCTTCGGTTTAACCATTAATCGTACTAATCATTTTTTATTACAATGCTCTCGTTTCTATGGCGCTAACCATTCAATAAAAATAGAAATAGAAGATAGAAGCCGTGCTTTTTTTAATATTTTTAATAATTACAATAAATTTTACAGCAGCTTTTGCCACCCCTGGAAGTCAAAATTTTGCGATTTGGCCACACTTTTGCTACTAAATCCGTACTCAAGGTGGCAACATAATAAAATATTTTAAAGACAGGCAAGATTTATGTAAAGCAATAAACTATAAGAGATAATGTATACTAATTAGAAATTTTATAACAAATTAACAAATAAAAGTATTATTTAGAGGAATTCACAACATAATTATAAAGCGGGGTTGGGGACTGTTATTAAAACTAACAGCCCTATTGCAATGCTAACAATATACCCTATCAGGTCGGTTTTTTCAGGTGCTTTTATCCTCACCTATCATTTTTCACTGATGCTTTGCCGGCGTATACCGATAGCGCTAGCAGGATCACTATTCTATTTACAGCTATAAAAAAAATAGGTAATGTTCATCAGACTTGTATCGAAATATTGAAACATCTTTTTAATCCAAATTGGAACTCTCATAAAATCTGCAAATGAATTTTATCAATAAATTCTCTAGTTTTTAACTACAAAACGTCAAGAAGTGACACACATCATTGTTAGGATCTAAGAAAATGTAGACCCTAATAACTACATAAACCTGTAATTTAGATATTTTCAATATTACGACAGTTTCCGAATAGATATTTAGTCTTTAGACTAGTTCATATTCCACTAGACAGTGTGTCTTAATACAAATGTCAACCAGGTAAACTTTTTTGTTCTTGTGTAAGTGAATAGGAACACCAAAGTGTATTTAAACTAAAAAAAAATACAAAAATGTATAAAATACATTAAATGACAAAAAATAGTTCTCAGTTCTAATTGAGAAATCCACCTGATGTGAGAAAATTTTCACTGAATTACACACAACAATTTTTCATCGATATCCTGAAAAATGGCACTTTTAGATTTAATAAAAAAAAAATAAGTTTTTTTTTGTCAGTGCTGCGTGTGGTTGGTAAATTAATTAACATTACGACTTACATAACACTGGTAATGATAGAGCGTTACATGAATATTATGTTATTAATAATTTTTATTGTAGATACTTGTACTGTTTATAATCAAGGCTCATCTAAAATAGAATGTTTCATGGTTCCTTCAGGACGAAGTTTATATAAAGAATTGATATAGCATCTATTCGAGATTGACCAAAATAGTCCCTAAAACATCTATATTGGGTAAATTATAGAACAATGTAAAGATAACGTTTTTAAATAGTTTTCAATTAGATTTTTGAGTTGTAAAATATCACAAAATATTAATTATTAGTACGAATAAATTTTTTTTACGTTTATGTTGTTAAAATTTAAATGATAGCTATTTGAATTTCTTGCCTTTTAAGGGTCTGAATGCGAGTCTTCTGCGTTGTCGAGTTCTTTGAGGATTTCTTGAACGTCCGCCGAGATCTGTAGTAAATAAAAAAATATTATTAATAAAGAATGTAGTAATTAAGACTAAAATTAAATAATAGCTACACTTGCTAAATAATTGAGCAAATAATCAAGAGTACTCATATAATTTAGTTAGATAATATTTATTATATCAACTTACTAGTAAATCTGGAAATGTCGGATCCAATATAGAGTCTAGTGCCGCGTCAAATTGAGAAAATGATGAATTGAGAACTGAAAATAAAGAATGATATTAATTTTATATTTATGGATTGTATAACATCTCGCATATACAATATAAAAAAGTACGAATAAAAATTACTTACGATCTTCATCAAAAAAATCATCAAGCAAAAAATTTTGTTCATGAATTTCTTCTTCTTTTTTTGCAGCTACTTTTTTCTTTGACGCTATTTCTTGATCATTACAATCACTTGGCCGTTTAATACCAGATTGAGCAGTGATTGTTTCTGGTACTTTTGAAGTAGACGGAATTTTATTGTCGTCACGTTGTGGAGATACATATACGTGATATTTTATGTCCGATCCTGACTCATTAGCATCGTCTAAAGAATCAGAATTTTTATTCAAGCTCACATTTGAAAATGTAATTGATGCCGTTCCGTTGTAATTGCCCGTTGGTGTGTTTATATTTCTTGGCAATGATTTGATATTAGAATTCGTAGTGTTAAAATAATTAGAATTATTCAAAATAATATCAGCTGGTTGAGATTGGTAATATATGTTGCTAAATTTAGTTTCTGATATTGTTGGTCCATTATATTGTGTTGGGATCATCGTAAGAGGTTGGGATGAATCGACTTGATTTTGCTGGTAGAGTGGTACTTCAACATCAGTTATTGGTGGATAAGCACTTATATTAGTAGTTTCTGATTGTTCGCAGTGGTATGTCCTTTCACAACTCTTTGGTAGAGGAGATATAATGCTGTATATTTTTTCTATGGCCTTAACAATTCTGTCTTTTTTTGGCGGTATGATGGATAAGCGAACCGGTGATATCTCGAACCGATCTGGGGATATACTGCGCGGAATATTATCTACACCCGGCGATGGTAAATTAGTCACCAGGTGAAGTATAACCTTTTCCAATTGCCTGGGATCCTCCACTGGGATAACTTGACTGTCATTCGTCTGCAATGTAATTGTGTATCAGTATCAAATTGAATAATTGAAAATTAGCGTATAGAAAATTGTAATATCTATATTAATATTATTTATTTACAAAACAGTTTGATTACTAATGGCATTATAAGATGATTTTGAGATGAATTTCATTGGATGTTCAACAAAATCTTATGTAGCTCATAAAATACCTTATGGTTTCCAGAACTAATTTAATCTTTAATCTTATTTAATCAAAATAATAATTTAATATTATATTTTATATATATATATAATCGAATTTAATAATGGACCGAATTACAAATTAGTGATAATTGAAATTGCCACAAATATTAAGTCGTTAGTATATAAGTCGTAAGGAATTTACTAACTTCTTTATTAGTATCCAATTCTTCTGGGGGCTCCTCATTGTTATTTACCATTAAAGTAAATTTCTTTTTCATCTTTTTAATCAGATATTGACCTTCTTTTTCATCCACTACTGTGTTGGTGCATACGAAACTAGTTACAGCTCTAGAACCATGATCCACATCTAAGCGACCTCGAGTCCTCATGTAGATGAATTGCCCATTTTTCGTCATCAAGCGATAACAGGATTCACCGAATAAACGATGTTGATCGTACACTGCAATAAAAAAATCTCATTATACCAACAAGGAGTACATAAAGAATCATCAATATAGTATTTGTATAAAATAAAATATAAAACAAAAACAGAATTATTTAATAAGTTCATTATTTTATTTCTACAAAACCATCAAACTATGTACAAAATGCTGTGTCCGAGTTGTCTGTACTGAAAGTGACTACGCAAATATTGTGTTTTGCAGACGGTGAAATCTCATAAAGAAATATTCCATGATTTATAGTGGTTATCTATATTTGTTTTTATGTATGTCTATTTTAATTTGGATATTAATATATAATAATATATACGTTACGTTCAATAAATTGTCAAAACGAACTTTTATAAACATAGACAATTAGACAAACATATCAAGAGTGAAGTCAATATCCGGCTCGAAGGACCACGTTTATGTTTATAAATATGCTGGTTCTTTTTATTTAGGTTGTTATTTAATGATTGTATTAAATTTTATTGCAAATACCGTCTGTTGACGTGATATATTACATTTTTGTTACAATTAATTTATATCCAATTTTCTTTTTATATAAAATTATAATTGTCAATATCTATAAATGTTCATTTTGAACAATATGTACGTTTCAAAGTTTCAAATTATTTTACTATAATAAAGACAGAGAAAGAATTAGGCAGGATAAGACAGTGTACAAAATTCTCCTTTTTTATAACATACATACTTATATGTCATCTAAATAAACTTGTAGAATTCTTTTTAAATATGTTTATATTATTATAAAAAGAGATGTTACATCTTTTTTATCACGCGATATAAAAAATAAGTTAGGAAATAAGCAAGACATAAAAATAAAAGCATCGTTAGTTTCATTCTATATTACATATCAGGTAACTCAAAAAGTATTGCGAGAAAAAGTTTTTACGTATGTGAAACTGGCCAGTTATAATTTAGTTAAAGATATGTTTTAATATAAGTAAAAATAGGTACGTTTTAAATTCAAAACTTCCCTCCACATTTTTTGCGAGCTAATTAAAATTACCGTGTCTCATTGAAAAATGGATTTGCGTCGAGAACATTTTCACGCTATGATTTTTTACGATTTTAAGTGTGTAACCGGACAAATGGTACGATAGACTTCAAACGGCATTCATAGACGAAGGCCCTTGTAAGGTAACCGTATATCGTTAGTATAATGAATTTAAGCGTGGTCGACTAACTTTGGGGGATGAAGAAAGAAGTGGTCGCTCTTTGACGGCAGTTACGGAAGAAAACGTGCTAGCTGTGAAAAATTTGATCCAAGACAATAGACGAGTTACATACGAAGAGATTCAGCATATACTGCAGATTGGATCAGGAAGCCTTCACGAGATTCTACACGTGCAACTACGGGTGCGAAGGACAGTTTCACGCTAGCGCACAACCTCACCGATGTTCAGAAGCAGGCAAGGGTGGAATGGTGCAATGATATGATAAATAAATTTAAAACAGGCTCGTCTCGGCGTGTTTACGACATCGTTACAGGTGATGAATCCTGGATTTATCAATACGATCCAGAATGAAAGCGCCAGTCGACGGTTTGGGTGTTTCAAAACGAATCAATACCTACCAAAGTAAAGCAATCTAGAAGCGGGGGGAAGATTTATATCGCGAACTTTTTTAATTTGACTGGCTACTAGGTGTCAATTCCTTTACGAAACCAAAGAGGTATTAACGCCGAAGGGTATATTACCAAATGCTTGGCAGAAGTTTTCTCTGTTGTGAGCAACTAGCGACCAAATACAGGCCTCCGCTTGCTACTACTCTACCACGATATTGCACCCGCCCACACCGCAATCAAAACGAGGGACTTCTTAGACAGCACACCGGTCAAACTCCTGTGTCACCCTCCTTACAACTCTGACCTAGCACCATGTGACTTTTTCTTATTCTCAAAAATAAAAAATCAGTTCAAAGGGATACAATTTTCGTCGCCGGATGATGCGCTCTCAGCGTATGAGCAAGCTGTAAACGAGGTGTCTGCGGCGGACTGGAAAAAGTGTTTCGAAAACTGGTTCTGACGCATGAAACTTTGTATAGAGGCTGGTAGAGAGTACTTTGAAAAGATGTAATAAAAATATATTTACCTATAGAACATTTTTATTTAGTGTCGCAAAACTTTCCGAGTGTCCCAAGTATAGAGTAAAATTTAGCCGGTAATTGAACAATTAAACGGAATTATATATAACTATTTTTTTTTTCATCTGGTTCTCGCTATATACTTTTTATCGTTAGTAACGTAAATATGAAAGTGAGCTTATTTGTTGCCTTATAACGCCTTAACGGCTTAATTAATCACTATAAAATTTGGGATAAAGAATTATATATTTTCATATAAAGCTACTTTTTGACGCGGACGAAGTCGCGAATTGTACAATGATTGGTGCACTATATTATTTATTCCATTAATTTTTTTTTACTATTTTAGACATCATTGGATGCAGATTTTAGGAGCTTGTTTTATCGCATAGTGTGAATAGTATATTTACATTTTATTGTAGATATTATTTTCTATTAATTTGGGATTGTTGATTTAAAAAAATATGGTATTTTTGGGTTTTAAAAGCGATGCCAATATTTTGAATATTATACTTTGAATATTGTTGTCAGCTGGAGGTAAACGGGTAACTTAGTACAAAGGATATGTTTTATTCAGTTGTTGTTACATTTTCAATCAACGTAAAAAATAATAGATTAGACCATTTAGTTAAACTTGATCTAATTAAATAAAACTTGACCAAACTATACCAAACATGATTTATACGATAAAATTTAGCCTAGTTGGACTAAATTTGATTAAAGTGACAAAATTTAGCCCAACCTGATTCAAATTAGTCAAATTTGGTAAATTTAGTCAAATTGAACCAAACTTGGTAAAACCATACCATGTTCGATTTAAGTGATCAAACGGACCAAACTTTGCTAAAGTTATCTAAGTTAACTAAAATTGATCAAAACTGACAAAGTTTGACCAAACCTGACCAAATTATTAATTTCAATTGAATTTAAAATAGTATTAACAAGTTTAATCCAATATGGCAGATTGATCAAATTGGACAAAATTGGTTAATCTGACATAGGTCGGTCAAGTTTAGACAAATAAGGTCCAGTTTGACTAAACTTTGGTCTAATTTGGTTAAATTTCTCCAAATTTGACGTAATCTATTTCGATTTAGTTTTTTTACTAACGATTTTGTTAACGAATTATTAATTTAATTTTTATAATTCTTAATAACTCAAATTGCCTGAATGAAATAAATAAATAAAAATTATAAAATATATAAAAATAAACTAAAAAGTAAACTTTTTGGATTCGTTATACAAAATTATTGGGAATCGATATTCATATATAAAATGTCAAAACTAAAATACTCATATTGAAAAAACTCCTGTGATGAAAGTGGCATATGACAATTTTTTTTATGAACGACCGTATACCATAGTACCGAACTATACACATAGACACATTGACGTGTGAGTATTTATTATTGTTAATAATACACGTTGTGTGTTAAAATTAAATTGAAGTTATGTAATTACTTAATAATTACTTCAGTCACGTCTTTAAAAAATAGATGTTCAAAATTTGAATTTGAAGATATCCTATCATATACATTAAATATTATATCACTGTCTAGACCAATAAATATTCTTGAGTTATGAAATTTTAGGGACTCCTTAAAAACCTAATTAAAAAGAGAACAGTTTAGTCTTAGACATACAATTTATAAATACACACCTAATATCGTCACTGGAGATAAAATTGTATTAAACGTCTATAACTATTAGAACTTATTAGCAACAAAATTATCGTCGGTTAGCAACAAAATTGTCATCGGTATATACTCGTAAATACTTATAATACTAATATGCTTAACTTATGATATTAAATTTAAACTTTAACAAATGCGTTGTTGTTACGCAAAACAAATGGAAAAGTAGAAAGTGGTTATCTAGAGACGTAGTTAGGTACTTATTAGTAATCTATGTCTAAAGTATCTAATAACAATTTATAGTTAGCGATACAGACATTTCAGATGGTAAACAAGCGTATCAGCTAATATATATTTATACATATAATTGAATATATAATTACATTATATATAATTACATATGTTTAATTTATATCAGTAATTTATTAAACAATATACGAAAAGGTGACATTTACGTAACTTACATAATGGGCTATGCACTTGTTTACTGAATTTAATTTTCATCAAAAATATTTAAATGCATTTAATAAAAAAATTAACTGATCCGGCGTAAGTACACATATGTAAACGTTGTACCATATCACGAATAATAATTATTGGCTATTATTTTTATTTAGTATCATCACAGTATAAGTAATAGTACTAGATAAAAATGACAGTATTAAATAATAGTATGGACACTACAGTATGGACACTCCCTGCCACCTTCTGCCTGCCCTCACCCCCTCTCAAATACGCGTTAGCGCCCAAATTCTAAAGAACCTCTCCAGTCTATCTCTCTAGTCGATGTCAGAGAAAAACAGAGAAGAAGAATATAATATTCACGAGGTGTGAAGAGAATAAGTAGCTAGTCTCAGCTAGTTTTGATTTTTATCGAAATCCAGAGTTATTAAAAATTTGAAATTGGGAATCGTTGCGGCGCGCCAAACGATTAAATGATAACAATGTGTTACAGACATAAAACGTACTACATTTTTCTTAAACTATGATAACACATGATGTCACCCATACATTGCTATTACTAATAACAAAGGTTCTGCAGATAGTACCTATATACATGATTTTTTTTGCCGACATTTTAAAATTCAGTGAAAATATTCATAATTGTGAAGAGTAACGGTAATCTAATAAGTGAAAATTAAATACTAGTACTAATGTAATATTATATCATGATATATATTTATTTTACTGATGCAGTAAATTAAAGCGCACATTGCATAGACCTTGACCGTAAGAGCGTGGGCGTTACCTTTTTGTCTCCGCTACCCGCGAAGAAACATTGCGACGACAATGAGTACAGAGTTGTATTACCATACAAGTTCAGGTAAACACTATGTCATAGAAGGAAATCAAAAGTATTCGGAAATTGATAATTGAACTAAATATAAACGAAAACCCTTACCTATATCCATAAATACAATAAAAAAGTATAGAATTAAAAAAGCGTTACTCGTTAAATGGATTATAAAATAATTATTTACTAAATAAAAATAATTATTTACAGAGGAATAATTCTGGATGAAGCCGAAACAATTATCGGAAACGACAAACATTGTAAGTTTATAAAATTGACGTTGTGTATGCATATAGACTTAGTTTTGATGTATTTGTAGTCGATTTCAAATATAATAAAGCCAAGTTCATTATATTTAACATAGATGCCCTCCATCGCATTGCGTTTTTAATACACATTCAATTTTAAAAATTTGCATTGCATTATTTAAGGGTAATTGGAATTACCCTTAAATAAATTCAAAACATCTGTTAAATCATATTTACTGAGCAAAGCCTATTACTCACTAAACGATTACTTGAATGACGAGTGTGCATGGCAATAGTTGTTCATGCACTGAATTTAATTGCATTTAATGTTAGACATAGACACCTATATAAATATACATTGTAAATAAACTGGCTTTAAAAAAAAAAGTAATTCAATTGAGTTTCTTGCCAGTTCTTCTCAATTGGATCTATATACCGAACTGGACGGTAGGGAAAAAAATAAAATTATAATGTAAAAATTTGACGTTCATAAGCGGCTAAAATGTCCTACATGAATAAATGATTTTTGAATTTGAATTTGAATTTGAATTATTATATATTAAAAATAGAGGTATACATATTTTGGCAAGTACTATTATAATTCGCTTTGCAATTACATAGACATTACACATATTGTAAATAATTTCACGTAAGTAAGCATACGTCATAGAAAATGAAGGAACAAATTGAATATCTACCAATTACGCGCGTAACGTAGGTAAGTTATTATTCTACGTATGTTTTTTTGCAATTTCTTCAGTGCATTTCCACTACACTACAAAAGTTTTACGACCAATCTTCACACTGTTGATTTCACTTAGAGCCTTTATACATTAGCTAACGCGATTTAGTAACATTTTTCTAAAAAAAAATACAATTCTTATCTAAGTGTTACGTATAACTTTGTGACATAATATTTATTTTTACTTGTGTGTCCAAGAGTTTATTTGACGATATTTATTGAATTTAATTCAGACGCAAGTATAAACATAACATACAGACATATTAATAAATTTTTATATTTATATAGTCTAATAATGATAAGTCCTTGTAACATATTATTGTTTATATTGTTATCATACATTTTCGTGTGAATTTGAAGGAGTCCTTAATATTTCATAGTAACAAAGTTTGATAATATTGTTGTTTTAGAAACAATATGTACAAAATATATTTACTTACTCTCTCTAAGCGCGATAATCACCCAGCGGACATCATCCCGATGCATGAAGTTCATTGCGTTGACACCGTGGACTTCGTGGGTCATGTAGCCTGTCACAAGAGCAATGCGTTGTTCGCACTGTATTATTTGGCCGTCAATAGAGTGCCGTGTACGGTACTCCATACGGAATGATTCGATTTCACTCTCGGAGATGAAAGTATCGGTTGTAGGACGTACTACACCTACAAATACCTGTAAATCATTGAAAATTTCAATTTAGAATTATTTATACGAAAATAGCCGATTATAAAAATGAAGTACTAGCTATATCCAGTGTGTAAATTAGAAATAAAGATAGCTGTGTATTAATCTAAGACATGGCCTACTTGTATATTAAATTTCATTCAAATCAGTTCTGTTATTTGAGCGCAATTTAGTAGCAAACATATAAGCGGCCGTGTGGTCCCGGCATAGAATAGGCCACCCCTTCCTTTCTTGTAGGTGTCATAAAAGGCGACTAAGGGCGTCCCTCTTAAAATATCTTTAAAAGCCTGCAGCTGGCAACCCGCCTGCCAAGCGTGACAACGATTGGCAAAATTCTCCTTATGGGGAAGATTTATGTTTAGCAGTGGAAAGATGATGATGATATAAATGTTTAAACATTACATTTATAGTATAAGTAGGATAATTGGATCACTTTATTGCAATTGAATTGAGATTTGATCTCTAGATCACTGGAATCCAGACATCAAATCTCAGTACAAATTGAGAAGCGAGCTAAAAGGCACGCAGTGCTCTCGTCAAATAAGCTAATTTAAAGTCCTTTAGAAGAGGCTCATATAGTAGCTCTTCTTCATCTATTCTTCATAAGGTGCTTTCATAAGTATACTTACTGTCCTGCAGGATATCTCTTAAAGGTATGTCTTTTACTGTATTAGATTCTTGAAATGTTAACAAATGAAATATATTACTAAATGGACATACCTAGGGAGACATTTTTATAATTGACAAATTAGAAATAGTAGTCTAGCTTATACTTTTGTTTATACTTTATGTATGACAATGAAATGGTAACCCCTTCTGTGCTATCAGTGTACATTGGTGGGGCATCAGTGAGGTATGATAGGTGAAGATGAAGTAGGTCAATTGACCCATCGCGATAAATTCAACAATTCATTAATCACGATAGTGAACTGCGTGGAGGTCTACCTGATAAGGTATATTGCTAGCAATAGGGTTGCTATCTCCATTACTAAAAATCCCTTTTCCCCCTACACTATTGGTTTGGCGAGGGACTAGTGAAGGGCATAAAGATATTGCTACAAATAGGGGATAACCTTCGCATTATTAATAATCCCTTAGCCCGGTTATAATGAGTTGATCATTATTATAATACTAGCTGATTCCTACGGATTCGTCCGCTTGAATCAGTAGGTAGATATATAGAGTATCCTATGTGTAGGATGATATAACCTACCCGTGTAGGGGGAAGGGGTTGTTAGTAATGGGGAGGTTAGTTTCCATTGATATCAATATACCCTATCAGGTCGACCTCCACACGGTTTTCCCTGGAAACTATCGTGACTAATTTATCGTTGAATACATCACGATGGGCTAACTGATGTCTCCATACTCATCTTTCATCCTTCACTGATGCCCCGCTAGAGTATACCGATAGCGCAGGCAGGACACCATTCCATTATCATCCAAAAACCTACCTGTGTAACAATTTTAATTGTTCAATTGAATTGATTGATTAACAAACATACAAACATCTTATGTATAATTTAATGCCATAATATGCGGATTGTATGTTAGTAATCTTATATTCCTTAGAAGCGTAAAATTGATTGCTCGGTTTTGTTATGACGTGAATGTTCCATCGACGACTACAAATAAAATAATTGACGAGGGTTTTTTAATGTTCTATTAAAATTTATTCAATTAGCGAATGCAAATAAGTAATATTATAGAAAAAACTCGCGAGTTCATACAGTTATTTTTTGAATGAAGGACACTATCTCGATATTTAGTTAATCTGTAATTACTGGCATTGTATGTCAAATTTAGATCAGTGTGCATGTATTACATAGATTACGACGCGCCTAGGGGACTGACCTATGACACATAGTATAATTAATAGTTCTACCTCACCTATAAATAGTCTATTACTATTGTTCTTTCCAAGGTAAAACGTAACTCCTTATTCTTATGGTAAAACATTCTTACAACAATGACAAAATTTCAATGATCATTTTGATGTATTGTAATTTTTTTTTAGATATGTGAGTAGTTTCTATAAGTGTGAAATAACACTCCATTAGTTAAAAATAATTAATCACAAGTTTCTTACTTTTATGAATAAGGGAAGCTATTGTATTACTCATTTTAACATGAATTTACGAATCCAAAAACAATGATAGCACAATGATAATAAATATAATGTGAACATTCAATTATACATTGTTTAACAATTGACTTCTTGTTTACATTCTTTATTAAGCATCCATTAACCAGATAAGGACGTAGAATTCATTGTTGTTACTTGGAAAAGAAAATAAACACAGTAGGATTATTATTCTGTTTGTGGGAATGAAGTAACTACAATGTATCATCACTTCATTTCTGGAATGCTGAGAAAATAAAATAAATGTTGATTGTCAAGACAGATCGGTTTGGCTGGTTGACATTTATCTTGATGATCTAATTTAAAAGATGAATTAGAATAAAAAAAAAATACGTTGCGTTTTCTAAAATGTTCTATTGCTAGTAGTTGTCAGTAATAAATATTCTAAAATATACTAGGTGACCCGGTATACGTTGTTTTACCCCATACCGCCATCTACCGGATCCATTTTTTCTTATCGGAATAAAAACTATCATATTTTTCAAGTTAAAAATAATAATTTTATTAAAATTTGTTGAATGATTTCGAAATTTTTTGTATATCTATAACATTATAGAAAAAGATGAAGTTTTGAAACTGGTCGCGTGTATAAACCCAGTACTAGATTATGTATTTTTCAAATAATATAACAATATAAGTCGTTATTACGCAAAACATTACTTACTACGTCGTTTCCGCTGGAGCAAGGGTTGTCGCTACGTGCACGGGCGCGTCGTATCAGTTGACAGCATCGGTTGTACCCTTGACATGCCGAGTCTGATTTTCGAAGTGAGCCCTCCACGTGGCACGTAAGGTATTGACTCGGCTCTGATCGCTGGCCAAATTTTTTGAACCTACACGGTTAAAAATGTTGCTATTAATTGTATAAGTATGTACATATTAATGTTGACAGCTCAAAAACTGAGAGACTGTATTCGACTTGAAAAGAATAATAAATTGTTGTCGCTTGTAATGAAAAGGAATTATACCTCTTTATCTGATAAATAATTCACTGTCATGTACTGGGACCATTGCTATATACCTCCAAAATAAATAATAAAATAAATCATTTTAATCGGATAACGACTGATGAAACTAGATGTCAAACTTTTAATATTTTCAATATAAAAATTATTTATTACAAAATATTTTATTCCACTATACTAAAATCTTAGATACATAATTAACATAAATGATTCTAATCCCCTTACCACTGATTCCTGTTAGCATGATTATTAAAGTATTGATGTAATATTTACCTTACAATGAATCTTCTCTTGTCACTAGCTAGTGCTGCAGCAACCATCTGCCTTCCGTTCGGCTCATCAGGCACTAGTAGTTCTCCATTTGAACCCAATAAATCACTCCTGGGCATAAGTTGTTCTCTCATCATTTCTCGGTCGTCTTCGTGTATGATATTCAAGATATTGTGCCCCAGTAATTCCAGCTATATCATAGAAATATAAATTCCATCCAATTAGATGCACTTTTTAATTGCGAACGGCTTGTTTTTATTTGAGTATTGGGTAATTAGAAATATTTTTTTTTATATTCATAAACTTTCAGGATGCACCAGATACAAAGTAACTAATCTGTAACTGTATAAAGTAGTTGAAATTATATAATAGTTATTTCCACCTTACATGCAAGTATATCATTTTGGCGGATATTGGAATTAGGTGTGGAGCGGCATGTTATTTTTGCTGAGTACGGTACGTAATCTCTGTTACGTCAAAGAGATCAGGAAAATTTTCTAAGATAGAAAGACACCATATATAAATCATATACGATTGATACGCTGACTTCTTTCAAATTTACATAATATTTTAAAAATAATACAATTGCCAATGGTTACTTCTAACTAATTTTTTACTAACATATATAGAAAGCTTTAAATCCTTTCTTTATGTTGTAACAGAAGGACATTAAACTAAAACACTGCAACGTGTTCACTCTCATTTTATTTTATTACAGTAAGATAAAGTTTCTGCATACCTAATTATTCTTTTATACACCCATAAGTAGCCGGGAAGTGAATGATTTTTATCTTAATAAAGGGTTACAAAATAGCTCACTACGAATATAAGATTTAAGAGAAAAATTGTATAAAAATTTACTGTATACAGTTAAGGTTATAAATACGGGGCACTTAGAGATTGATAGGCATGAGATATAATTCTTATATTAAATATATAAATTTTATATATTTACTCTCTTCCACTTTTAATAATTACTTGCAAAATTATTACTCACAGTAAAATAATTTATGTGACTTGCAGCTTTTTATTGACTTTAGAAAAAAAGAGCACATGCGTTATTTAGACAAAAATAACAGTAACTTTAATTTAATTTATATAGATTTTTTAAATAGTTACGTATATATATATATATATATATATATATATATATATATATATATATATATATATACGTAACTATTTAAAAAATCTATATATACGAGTGTGTGTGTGTTAAACATAGGCTATGTATGATTTTGAAAAATCTATCTACCCGTGCAAAGCCGAGTCGCATAGCTAATAAATAATAAAAAATAGTTTAATTATCAATAGGTTGGATATAATATTCAAATAGGCACGTTTTTCTGTTCACAATATTGTATTAGTACAGATAGTCCTAGGAGAGCAGAAACATGTAGTGTATGATAAATTATCACTTACTAGTGTGGTCTCTGTACTTTATGGAGAATAAATCAATGTCGGTATTAAAGTGGAAAAGAGACCATAGGAATATATTTATAACGTACGGACTGTTACCATTGACTTCAGTTTTCACTATTTTATTGCAATAATTATTTATGTAAGTGTATAATATTTTATTTATTTATATTATATATATAAAGGTCGTATAATACTAGCTCCATCACGTATCTTTGCCCACCAAATTATGATAAAATTACGCCTTTTGTACAGTTATACTTTGATAAAATATAGGTTGGTACTACTTGTCTCTACTTACCACAGTATAACCAAGATAGCGCCGAATGTTCTGTGAAACGACAACCACTATGCCTTTATAGGTGGTGGTGAGCAGGAATCCATTTAGATGTGCTAAAAGTGCTCGTATAGATCCTGGGGAGAACACTTGATTTGATTGGTCGATAGATTCTCCAAACACTGTGACAGAGAAAGAGAATTATATATTATTAGTTATAATCCAGTATTCGATTTAATAGCGTAAATTAGGATAATAAGTATATTTTGGCTATGCGGTAATGGATAAATAAACATACCACTGTTTTTCATCCCTACAAAATCGACTGAAAAAACGAATACACCATAAACCAGTGTCTCAGCATCACTGCTTACACCAATGAGATACAGGCGTGGTAATATAGGTACTTATTTTACTTAATCATCAAAATTGATTTAAATTGAATTTGAGTAACATTGCATAAAAAATAAAAATATTTTGAGTTTATTACTGTAGTCCAACCGGCATTTCATGATTGATGACAAGACGTAACTGTGTTTTTTGAATAATGCCTGTGATTTGGAATATAAATTATTAAGTCGTAATCCTTATAGAGTGAGAAGAAATTATAATAAGCTATGTCTTTGTTTATTTATACTAATTTAATGTCAATTTACGTTCTCTGGCCATCAGCCAAACACAACTAATTGCTCGTATCACTTCACTGGCCATAATTTATGTTCAGAAGCTAATATCTAGTAGGTGTATAAATTCGCACATTACCTGTACATGAAAACTAATTGTAACAATTTTGTACGGCTCTATATACAGACAGGACTAAACTAATGTGGTATACTGAGCCGATGGAAAATGATAATATTAATGAAATTTTAAAGTTACTTCTAAAAAAAAGTTCGAACTGTATCAATCGAAAAATCTGGTGAGATCGTGACCAATCGCGTTTTGTAGATATCCTCTCTGTCGGTAAAGATATATAAATTATATATCTTAACCTCAGATTCGTAAAAAATTGGACAGACTTTTTACTTTGCATTTTATTCATTTATTTATTAACGTATTTAACCTGTCTAGTAAGAAATGTTATGTTACGAGCTTAAATTATTAGTTTTAGATTTTAGAGTCATCTTGGAATAAAAAGCATGCTACTTTAGTCTCTTTAAAATCTGACTTCTCCTTATAGTCAAGAAAATTAACTTTGAAATTATTACAGAATCTATTTTAATATTATTGTATGTGTTATTGTTGACCAGTTTTTTATCGATCGATATATTGAATAGAAAAATTGATATAAATTTCTATTCTCCAGACAATTTTACTCTTAGTCAGTTCTTATGTATAGTAGAGACGACAAAAAACGTGCAAAACTGATCTTTTACAGATAGGTAGCCACATTGTTTATGCCTGTAATAAATACTCGACTTGTTCATATTTTAACGAGTATTATTTCATTTAAATTGCCATTTAATATCGATTATTTTATAATCGATTTTTTACCATTATCAGAGTCTATAACAATCTATCGATAACAGTCAGAATCGAACTCACACTCGCCCTTTCAAATCGGCATAGTAATACACTAGGCCACAACACCATCAAGCTAAGTCAAAGCCACTAATACATCGTAATTAATTAGCACGCTATGTGTGAATGCCCTTACAACAAAAAGCATGGCAACGCACGTGCTAAAACATAGTATGATGTCCACACACACGTTACTTCGCATGTTTGCAGTCAACAGCGATTAGAGAATTGTAAACATATTTATGTTTTAAAATATTTATTACGTTATGTTGTTAATAGGTTAAATTTTCCAATTTGACTGAAATATGTTAAAATTTTACATGTGTGCATATATTACATACTGTTAACAGCTCATTTCGTATTGGTAGTTCTATACTACCTAGACCTAAACTACCGTTGCTCTGTATATAGAATTTACTAATAATCTACATCATAAAGATAGCCCACGCTTACACTCTGATGACTATCAATTTAGTTACAAACCGACAGACAAATATGAACTTTGTATATGAATATTATTTGGATAGGACCAGTATATTAGTGAACATAATATTTTGGATCTAGAGAGCTAGTTGAACTTCGACAGATTATTTGTATTGTACTTGCATTATAAAGAAAATTAACTAGTTACAATTACAATTAAATTAAATAGTAAAAAAAAATGAAAATAAAATCAGCTTATAAAAAAAGGTTAAAAAAAAACTTTAAGTCCACTGCCCTACCGTAAAAAAAATTTGTTAAAGCGTTTAGGTTAGGGGTTTTAATGAGATGAAAATGTAATGGTAATTCCATCTGCGCTATCGGTATAATATGCTGGTAGGGTACCTGTGAATAATAATACTCGTAAATAAGAATGATGTTAGTTGGTTTCACAATAAGCTAACAAAAACTAAAAATTTGTCACGACAAATTGATCACGAATTAGGCAGGTAAAGTTACCATTCTATTTTCATTTTTAAAAACATCAGGAGACCAGGCGGAGGTTTACCTGATAAGGTGTATTGCTAGCGATGAGGCGGTAAGACCCCATTGTTAATAATTCCTTTTCCTCTTTAAAGTACAAGTTTCCAAAATTTGAAAATCCATATATGTATACATACATAGACCTGAAAAATATTGCTCTCTACTCTTCGGCAGTCGGATAGAAACTGCAATAAATGAAAAATATAATTTTTCATTTATATTTTTCATATATAAAATATAATTATCCATTTTAAGATAATCATATCACTTTTCATAATAGCTTTAATAACATGAAAATTAATCATCTACGGATTAAGCGAGTTGAGTCTTGAAATAGAATTGTACTTTGCTCTCTTTATGTAGTTTAGCAGAGCTTTATTATGTAATTATTATATCATAATTTACGTTGCATAGTGTTATATTTATTATAACAATAGATGTCTGTGAAGCTGTTCATGCCGCGGTGTGTGTAGGTACCCAAGAAGCTATGTATTCATTAAATGCTCCATCGCATTGGAGAGACAAGAGCGATGGTGATAGACCTATAATTCGATGGGTCCGATCTATGGTATATCCTTTTTAGGCACAGGGTGTACAAAGGTGGTTTTCCAGTTGGGTGAAAATTACCCTGTGGAGTATGATAGTGCAAAAAGACACGTAAGTATTGGACACAACTCAGAAGCACATTGCTTTAATACTAATGTCGGTATGCTGTCTAGGCCATTCGACTTACTGACGTCAAGAGATAATAATTCCTGGCGGACATTCAGTTATGATATGGAAATCACTGGCTTGGATTCCCCGTACCACGGGTTAGTCGGTGGTACAGTATCTACTGCGTCTAAAGTCAAATGCGAAGCAAAGATAATGCCAAGCAAATCAGCTTTTTCTTTTGTGCTACTGGCCAAGTTACCATTTGGTTTAGATAAAGGAGGTAAGGACTATTGACTAAAGTTGCATTGAGCAACTTAGGCCAGCGACCAGAAAGCATGACTTCTAGAAGAATGACGTGTCAGCTACTTACTAATTCCGCTGATGAAATCGAATTTGGCACTGGCGATGACTCTTTTACTGAGTCTCAAAGCAGCGTTTAGTTTCCGTCTCACATCAGAAACACTAGGATTCCTGTTGGTACGAGCCGTGGTCCAAGCTTCGCATGCAGTTTTTTTGCTAATCTAGCTTCTCTGCAAGACCGATTAAACTACGGATGTCTCTTCCATGCCTACTAGTATTGCTTTTGTAATAGCGGTTGTATAAGATTCCACATCCTTCGACGCAAAGCAGAGCTGTGTCCATGGGTACGATGCGTAGAACTTTTACAATCCATCCCAATCAGCCGACCTATAATGCCACACGCGACGTCTTCCAGGAGGCCGGGGAAGATTACTTTGATTCAAACCCTACCCAAATATATAGTAAGCAGTTAGTAGAGTTCATTGTTATATAATATTGAACTGTCATTTAGATTTGAAGTTTTACATTAGTGTCCAAAGGAAAGCTACGAAAAAACACAAACCTTTTTATATTTATACCACCTAATTAATTAATTAATATTTTATTTAAAGTCTAATAAAAAACAAAAAAAAAAAAACTCGGCATTACTATTGAAATAATTCTATTCTTAAATCAGACATTGGGTACGGTACTACACAACGTTATTGCTACAATATAATGAAAAATGATAGTAATTACAATAGATACAAAATAGATACGCTTTTGTTACACACTTTTAATTTTCTTTCGACAACTCATTGTGTTACACGTCCACGATATTGGAAAGTGTTTAAAAAAGCGTATTGAAAAATTATACATTTCGTTTTTATATTATTATATATCGCAACGATAAAAAGCCATACCATGATATGGTAAATCTCAAAATTGTCCTCTACATTGCTGTCATATTAAAATGTCAAGGTCACATTATAACAAATGTAAGTAAAACGGTCATACTCTTCCAGACGAGTCACACATAAGCATTTACTACAACATAAATCAATCTCTAACTTCCTGTTACGTCTAATGTAGGTCTGTGGTACGTACTGCGTTTTGATTTTGGTGTAAGTAGTTTTTGGTGCTGAGAGTTTTATTTTTTAAGTAAATTAATTATCTCCAGAGAGATCGATCACGTTAATCATAAATTATTGTTTATTTTTTTATTATTATGTATACTTATACGTAAGAGTATGTAATAAATTAATATTCTAATTCAATGAGTCATACCTACTGTTCTCATTGCGTTGTAAACAGTGTGCAACATCATAACTTATATCTACAACAATGTAAGTGGCTTCCCTCGTATAATTGAGATTAATAAATTAGCACCTATTTATTATAAACATACTATAAAAATAATATAGTTCTATTAAATGCATATTGATAATGTAAATATCATAATTGTACATAGATATGTTCAAAAGTATAAACATCTGCATAAATTATAATAGTCGATAAATAAAAGAAATACTTTTTTTTTTTTATGAAAGAATGGACCTAATTTTATTATAAGCATTAGTTAAATCCATTTTAAATGTGATTTATTAATAAACCAGGAACTAAATATATTTATAAATAATATTTTGGTGGCAACTATTAATTAGATACGTATTTAAAAACTTAATAACATGCATATCTATCAAGATTTTTTTTTCTTTTGTATAACTAACCTAAAAATGATGTATTATTAGTAAAAAAATCATGCAGAATGTATGTACCTACTTGAACTTTCACAGGACAGATTTCGATGTAGGATTACTTGATCTTGATACTTCCAATAAAATAATGTTCCAATTATTATTTTCCCATACCTAAATACCTAACAACGATGCTAAATCACAGGTTGGTATGTAAAAGATAATGTTAATGGATGCGTATTAACAACTTCATTAAAATAAGTATTTATTATAATGCAAAATCAATTCGCACCTGCATCATAGACCTAATATGCAACCGAACACAGCCCACCTCATGTGGAAGTGGGTGATATGCGTTCAACAAACATCCCATTTAGACGTATATGCCCTGCGTAACTGATATGGGTGGAGTTCGCATTCCAACACATATTATTAACAATTACTATAAAGAATGTGGCGAAACTAGAAAAATATTAGAGCAACACTAGTACGTATGACAATATAAATACTGGGATACCTACTGTGTAGGTAGGTACTGCGTAGTAGAAATGTGGTATTCACCCGGCGCAAGTTACTTACTCATCTAATTTTACGGATATAATAATATTGTAACTTTTTAAAATTAATTTTAATAGGATAAATAGAACCCAAAACAATATTTTTTTTTAAAATTATGTTTGTCTGTCTGTTTGTTTATTTACCATTGCACCAAATTAAATACGGTTGTGTTCCTGAAGATTTAACTTAAAAATTAGTGCATGTTTTATTTCGATACGCTGTGTAAAAGCAACCTATCTCATTAGCTTTCCTTTTGAAATCTGCGCGTACGATGTAGCGGGCAAAAAGCCAGTTGAGGATAAACAAAGTTAGTAGTAGTAGCCAAGTATATGTGCTTAATGCTTTATCAAAGATTTCAGCCCTTTAGCTAATAAACTCAGACCTGTACGTACATTTAGATAGACAATTCTTTTAAATTTTAGATAGAAATTTTAGTTTTTAATTTAATTAATCTACATATAAAAAAATCTAAATTTTAAACAAAAAAGCAACTGAAACGAGTCCGTGAACAGGCACACATTGTTATTATCATAGTTGCTTTTACAAAATACTCATGCATGGTTATTTTATCAATTTTCATAATTTGTCGCATACGCTTGCCGAAGAAATATATTTCGATATTGATAATAGATTAACAGCAATAATAACATTTCAGTGATGGAAATTGTAACAACATTATGCTCTCATCAAAATTTTTGTGCCTCTCTAAGGTTGGGTAGAAAACAATGCTATTTAGTCCGTCTATTGCACTTTGCACTATATACTAATCTAAATTGCTCATATATTTAACCGATAAATAAATTACTTTTTAATTACTGCTGACAATTATGCCTCGATATGTAGAACAGAAGCAACTTACGGAAAGTTTTTTATTTAAAAAACTATTAGAAGTAGAGAACGAGACTCACCGTATTGATGAGCGCGTAAATAATGTGCGGTCAGTCTGAGGATACCAGTCTTTTCGATCTTTCGGTTCGCAGCCACCACAGGTGGAACCATGGAGGCCAACTCTGCTATGGACTGGTTGAGTTTGTCCCGTCTCTGCTTTTCAGCTTTGTTGCGAATCTCCCTCGGGCTGTCTCTGAAAACAAATTGTAATGTTAGCTTACTCGTTTAAACTTTCTTTTTATATAATGTATGCCCGTAATATATCGGAGTTAATAACAGTTTGATTTATGTTGAGATAACAATAAAAGCTACTAAAAAATCTTATTATTTTTTTGAAGTCGGTTGAAAAAGTTTGATACCATGCTACCAGGCTAGTGTAGCAATAGTGGCCTAATTGTTGCACAGGTTTACCCCTATTAAATACAGCAGTAGGTATCAATTAGTGATGTGACCTATGTGGGAACTAAATCAAAATTTTTCTGTCCTGTGTTCGTACAAGTGAGCAAAAATTTATATGCCTATTTTTGTTTATAGATTAAAACTCGATGCCTTATTATTCGATGAATATCAAGTGATGTAAAGTGTGGAATTGATAAAACTCATAGCCTTGTTTTATAACGTAATCAACATTAATATTAATCTGTAACGTAATGAATTATGTTGTCTTGTCTAATTTTCCTACTGAACGATCAGAACTAATTAATTTTACATTGTTATATACAAAACATTCATTAATTTAATGATATCATTAAAACTGTTTATTATTCTTTCTTTACAAGATTTGTCCTGATAGAAAAATTTGCTTCTGAAGTTGGCATTGCTCATTGTAGGATTCATTTCTATATAAGATTTAATGAATGGAAAACTTGATAGTTTCCCATCAGTGGACTATGTGCTAGCGATATCTCAATTATTATATACTGGACTATTTATACATATATTTGAATCGTCGTACTATTACTGAAGATGCTGCATGTATGCCACTATTGAAGAAAGACCTTCATACATATATGCATGGTAGTTCCACATCATAATTCTCCAAAATTGAAATGCATTTCCGTTGTTATGCTTGCAGCTTTTCTACTTGTACGAGGAATTTGAAAATTACACCGTTCGAAAATAGACGTATTGAATGTTTGTAAATCATAACATTTGTGTAATGAAACTTCTTAGACGAAATAATTACATTGTAACATGGTAGCAGCTTATTGAATCGCGGAACATGCCTTTTTAATCAACATAAATCTAAAATATTGATGGTATAACACGCCATTAGGCGCCGCTTGTTAGTATTTGTAAATTCTAAAAATATTAGCACTTGTTTCCGCTTGCATTGTTGCTATATGAATATAGTATGCGTAGGTACGTAAGTTTAGTTAATTTACAAATATTAACAATTTAAGAACTTTATACATTAACATTCGATGTGTGTTTGCAAACGATTATTTACAATAATATAAAAAAAAAAAGAAATAGATCGCACGAAATATTTTGTGAATATATAGATCGTATAGAAACATTTACCTTTTATATTCTTTTTTATATTTGTATGACTTTCGTGTGAAGTACATTTTCTATGCCTACAAGTAACATTGGACTTAGAATGCGTCGTCAACTTCTTTACTTTGTGTCAAATGTCAATTAGTAATGAACCTACCTAATGCTAATAAGTCCATCCATATTGTCAACACTAGCAAAAACTACTATTACAATTTTAATCGGTTGATATCACATTTCGTATACCTGTTAATAAATATTCATAATGTTAATTGACTTTGATAAAATTTCTAAGAAAGACAATTGCGGTGTAATATTTTGCTGAATTAATATTATCTAAAAGTTATTTGAATACATTATACATTATTTGTTTTTATTATATACTATTTTAACAAGTAAAAGTTATATTTTAGGCACTGACCTAATTACGATATGACGATAATTTGACTTTAAAGTGCGACTATTGTCTTTATTTTTACTGTTACTTATAAGTTACAAATAGTATATACACTTGCAATAATAGAACAATAAAGTTACTTTGATATAATAAATAATATAAAGATAACATTTGATTATATAATATAGGTACGACGAATAATTATACACACATTTGAAATAATTATTTTTAATTTATAATAATCACAAATGCAAATTTTCTTTTTAATTAGAAGCATTGCCACATATTAAAAGTTTATAATTTTTTTAAAATAAAGTGATCAATATTTAGACATAAATTAACAATATATCCATTACTAATAATAAATACATTTATTTCAATATTATAAAACTTGACACGTTTATATCCGACTTCAAAAAGGAGGTTCCGGATTTCTATGTATTCTTTTTATGTAGATATCTTGCGCGATATTATCGCCGAATATGCATAATTTAATTTGACAACTTTTACTGTTATTAATTACATATTTACTGATTTAGCCAAGACTTTATTTTTAGTTTATGATATTCAGATACCATGCTAAACATTATACCTTTACCACGTAATTATTTTTATTGTTCATGTACATTATTTAACACTGCCGATCCCGCTTCGCACTGGTAAAAAATTCAAAAATAATAGCCTATGTTTTTCGTTGATAAAGTAGGTTTTATGTAGGTATCTTAAAAATATATGAAAGAATTTTTAAAATCGGTTATGTAATTTTTAAGATAATCCATTATAAACAATCACATTTTTTCTCTTTATAATATCAGGATAGGTGTATCCAGAATAATGAATTATGTATAAAACTACTCAGAATCAGTACACAAAAACTATAATTATTCTATATCCGGAAAGGGATAGGTTACTTTGTAGTAGGTACGCTATTAGTAATTACCGGAACTCGAAAATGTTTTATTTCAAGATTGTAATTCTGATTATTTTGCACATATATGTAGATCTTTATTTATTTTTTTATACAACTTAGAATGGCAAACAAGCTGAGGGCCAACTTATGGAAAGTGGTAACCGTCGCCTATAAACATGAGCAGTACCATGGACATAACAGAGTATACTGTTTCGCCCATGATACCCCCATGCGTTGCCATTCCTGAGGACTCAGATTTTATTCCTCTGTACCCAGTAAATTCACGCCATATCCCACCCTTCAAACCGAAACACAGCTATGCAAACACAACTGCTTCACGGTTGAAACACGAATGGGACAGAGGTACACATGCAATCGACTTTTGTACAAAGTCTCCCTCTGGTAGATCTTTATGAGATGGTATTTTCGAATTTAGCCCACCTAAAGAGGATCGGGCGTCAATAACCTCCATCCTTAGTTGCTCACCTACATCTATCTTATACTATCAGAGTGAGACTACATGAATAGTCTGTTTAAGTACCTTCGTCCCAGTCGTTTCTACTGTTAAACATATGTGCTTGCATATGTTTCTGTTTAAAGAATATGGTAATGAAATTACAATGTAGATGATGGAGACGACTTTCTTTCAGGTCGGCCGTCAGCTTGTTTCGTATTTTATGCATAAAAAATATCTCTATATATTCGCCTTCAGTGAAACTAGTACCTTATAATATATTAATAGCATACTGTAACGTAGGTGAAGACTGCATTAAGCGGTTTTGAGTCACTGCTAAAATGATTACTTGACTTTTTTTATGCACTCATAAAATTATGTGTATTATATTTTTAAATGATGTTTGAAAATAGTGTCTATTAATAGAAATAATCAAGGTTGTATATATAATACACATACACATATATGTTATTGAATATCTATTTAACATACCTTTTACATTGCAACATAATAGATAAACTGTATTTGCTAATACACCTTACGCGTTATTTCTATGTTATCTATTTCGTATATTATGTATTTTATTAAAAACTACAATGCACTATAGTCACTTTAACAGAGATTTATACTACTTAAAACTCTAAAAGACTTATAGCACTCTATTAACCCTTGTTTGCAGTGTTAACCGGTTTATACGATATTTTTAAGAACGATTATACATTACAAATTAAAATTTTAACTTAATACTTTGTAATTAGTTAATGTGTTTGTTAAATGACTTCTCAATTAACGAATATGCAAGGTATCTAGGCCAAATCATTTTCTGCGACTGAATAATATTTAAAAACATTAAGTAAGCACTATGTTATTTCAATAATTTTGCAAGACTAAAGTCGAAGTCAAAAGTTTGATTTCTGATGTCGTATCGTATAATTCCACAAAACACATCCCAAAAATAGTTTATTCCTTATCTAACATATGTCTTACCCTTCCAACAGCAATTGCAAATCTCTTAAGTACCCATAACCCTACCGAAAAATTTCTAAATGGACTGTCCGATAAAAAACAGCAGAGGATTACAGTAGACTGATTGTGATGATGATGAGGGTATTTGAAGAATATTACGAACATTGAATTAGGTATAAAATCTGAGGTAACTGAAAGATATAATAATAGTATAACAGGAAAACAATAAAATAACATGCTACTTGAAATTCTGTATATTAGAACTAACAAAAAAAATGTAAAAAAAAAAGATCTCGAAAAGAATAATATAGAAATACAAATATGTATATGAAAATGGTCAGCTAGCTAAACTGCTAGCAACAAATATGATGAGATGTTATAGGACAAATAAGGAACAACTCGATTTTCATTGTGGATACGCCAATACACACCGAATTTGAAAACAATGTTAGACTATCGTCAGTTGTGTGACACATCAAAGGTCTAAGCATTAGAACTTGTTTACAAAAAGATTTTTTCATATACCTAATCATTTTTAGATTAAAGTAACATAAGCAATAAACTTTATGTTTCTTATTAACGAACGATGTAGGACAAAAAATCTAATGGATTCTATTTTGGGTTCATAATTAAGTTAACCTTTTAGGAACGCTACTTGCTTATCTTAATGAAGTTATCTTTCAATTGGGATAGTTCATAATTTTGAATTAATGTCTTTAATTTTAGAAAAGTGAGCGCATGAGCATCTTGTTGTTGACGGTGCTTAGCTATTCTATTATAGAAAGAGAATCAGAATCACGCGGTTTGTCTTCATAAATCGGGATAAAAACTATATAAACCTAGAAAGTCTCGATCTCTCTTTCTATATATATATATATATATATATATATATATAATGCAATTAATAAATAAATATCTATCCAATGGAGTCCAAGAATGATTATTAATAATGGGAAATAGTAATCAATC